TGAAGCACATTTACTCAGTATTTTATTTTTAGTTAATTTTTGACAGGAAATCGGTTGCTAAAGATCAAAATTTGACACTTGTTGATCGATTTCTCTTTAAAAGATATGAATCGATGTGTTTCCACTTGATTTACAAACTTCTGTCATCTAAGGATTCTTGTTGCCAAGATGCAATGCAAATATTACGATAGCATTACACACCCAAACGTGGTAACTGCTCTTGATACAGAAAAGTGGACATGAGCCAACAGATGATTTCTATTGGATTTTTGGTCAATACTCTACAATAATAAGCGTCGTTTTACAGAATCGGATTTTTCATGTTCTAATAACTTTTAAAGAATTTAAGAACTGGGTTATCACGATAAGTGCCGGTAATTGATATTATTTTAAAATACATGTTATCTTGAAATAAAAGCTCTAAATAAGTTATCATGGGATTATTTAGGTTATATTTCGATATCATTGGATCGATAAGATTATATTTAGTTTTGAAAAAGTATACATATAGAAATCGAATATAGAAAAATACGTATATAGACGTAAGTATCTGATACAATGTGCACATCTAGAATCTCTTTATCTAACACCATAAAACTCATATAATAAGATATTAATTCAAGAGTCTCTCACTCAGTAATTGAAACCTCATAAAATTTATGAGAGTACTGAGAAGACTGACGCACAACACATTGACGTCGTACATAATGTATTCAATGTGTAAAGCTATCATGTTTCTTCATATAAAGAAGAAACAGAAAAACAGATTGCATTATGATTCTTGCTGATATATATATGTAGAGTTAAACATTTTTCAGCCAGTTTTATTCATCGAACAATTTTGTCGAGAACATTCAAAAATGATCTTGAAATCTTTCATTACTGTGTCAATCATTGCTTCTTGTGAGTTAAGGGAAGTATGATAGACTTGGTTGAAAAAGAATATGTATGTATACTTTTAGTGCTTCGGTTGACGTATGGACTCAGTTGCAATATATGCGAAGATTGGGCTGCAGGTTGTCATAGAATAGTGCAGCGTTCTAGTTTCGATACTTGCATAGTGAGTAGATAATCGATTTTAATTTATGTATTGAAAAAAAGGTAGAGAATTTTAGACGACTACAGGAACATGTACAATAGGAAGTGTCACTGGTTCATATACAGTTTTGTCAGCCGGTACGCTTTCGGTATGTAATGATACTGAAATATGGACAGAAGATATTCCAGGTATAAAATTTTCATGCAAGTTTACATTTTCTTGCTGTTCTACTGACAATTGTAATAAATGTCCGGATACTGGATGCCTCCATAGCATTAGTGGTTCGAACAAAAACAACGTTCGTTTTGGAATCATGTTCATGTTAACCTTATTATCGACATTTTTCTTACAATTCTGAATCAAGACACTGAATGACAATATATTTTTTATTTTTGTTCTACAAACATCAAAATTTTAAATAAAATTTGTAGTCCTGCTCGTATATGTAACTAGTATTAGATCAAAAGGACTCAGTCCTATTATTGAATTTCATCGTCAAGAAGACTTCGACTCGACTATTAGATTATTGAGAGCCCTTAGGGATTTGTTCGACTGGAAGTGAACCTCTAACAACAATAAAAGACCTTCTCATACAAGTTAAGCCTGCAAAATCATAATAGTTTTTTAAGATATTTTCATTTATGATTATGAAATTTTATTTAATGGAATAGGAAACCTTCCTTCAAAACCAGGTATTTCTCATATGGCAAAAAAATAAAGAATCCTCCATTTCAAGAGGATGTGGGTGTGAGGGTAATTGAGAAAGAGAAATACCCACATCCACACCCTCATTGAATTAATTGGCAAATAAATCTGTTTTATATATCCATGCTATCTACAGAAGATCTTACGCACTATTATATATATTAATCAGCTCACAAACAATGATGTTGATTATCTTTCAAAATTATACCTTGACCAATTTTTCAAAAAAACTAGAAAGTCTGACGCCTGTTATTCCTAATTGCTAATGTCTGTAATGGAGGCCTACATTCCTATGTGTCTGTAATAAGGCCTTACGTTACTATGGGTCTGCAACGAAAGAGAAGAGGGTAGCCGCCAAAACTTGAACTTTCAACTTACATTCACTATTTTCTTCGAAAATACATGTGAGTTCTACAAAATTACGTTTCAGTTTACAAATAATGCATTAGGATAACAACTTGTAAGGATGTATATGAGTTCAACATTTGAGTTTCAAAGAAGCTGCGTTGAGAAGTTTTTATTGTTTCATCTTTATTAGAACAGTGTTAAGCAATTTGTACAATGCGTTTTCAAGTGAGACTTTTAAAAATAACTCGTCTTCGTAGATTTTCATAAGCACATTTGTGGTGTACGTAGATGATTATATACGTCAAAGTGCGATAGAAAAAATGTTGGCAGATATTTAGAGAAATAGTTTCGATAAAGTGGTAGAAGTTTTAGGTCAAGATTAATTGAAATGAGTGCTTATCTTTATATGTCTGGTGTTCGTAGACTTTCAAGCATGTTTGACAGGTGTCTGCAGGTATAGAAGTAGTATTCACGTACAAATCTTACCGTATACTATTCGAGTTTATTTCCGGATCCGTTCAAAGCAGGGATTGTAAATGTTCACCAGTACAATCCCTCGAATTCTATCTACCTTAATAAATAGATTTAAGCTATCTTTTCTTTCACGATCTTCGCGTATTTTGCAGATAGTTGTATTTTTAGTAAAATAAATCAAAACTGAATTATTTCATTTTGATCATTTTTTTAGTAAATTGTATTTAGTAGGAACAACATAAATAATCTGATACTATGTTTTCAAGTGAGATCTTTTCAAATAACGAGTATTCGTAAATTTTCTGAATTGTTTTCTTTGTGTTTGTAGACGATTATGTATGTGAAAGTGTAGTTAAAAAAATGTTGTGTGTGGGTCTGAGCGTGGATGTGGATGTCAGTATGAGGATGGGTATGCGTGTGTCTTTTATCTATCTACACCCACGCACCACATCCACAGCCACCACACATCCCACCCATACCTACCAACACTTATACCGTCAAGAGTTGCTGTGAGAGCCGAACTCTATTATCGTCTCTAACGCTCGTTTCAACGAAGTAAACTCGACAAACAGAGTGAGCATGTGATTGGCCAAGTCACAGAAAGCAACTGCTCTGCTATTTGAGAGCATGTTCTAGGAGAGTTCAGACTTACAACAAATTGTACAGCACAACAAGAAATAGAAACCTGAATATTTATGTTTCATTGAGTTATGCGCACTAAAAATGAGAAGCAGATTGTTGTTGCGTTTGACTGTTTCTTTTGACATTTTCTGTCGATCATCGGTGAAAAACGAACAACGCAATGTTTCAAGTGCGTTTTGTTTGTTTTGTAAGCAAGCAGAGATTGATTGAAACGAACAGAACGAAAGAGAGAAAAAAGCACCGTAGCAACTCCACACTCTGCACATGAATGTTGTCTTTTTGTCGCAAGGCAATGCTGAAGAACATAAGCGTCGATCGTGAGTATTGAATATACAAACAAACATTTTCTTTTCTTAGACAGTCATGCAATAGAGCTACCAACAGACCACTTTTTTCAGTCTGGCCTGTCCTGCATGCGAAACCAGATCGACTAGAGTTTTTGATTCTTCAGATTCAGCAAATTAACAGCTTAGCAATAACTTAAGTTATCAGTTTCAATTATTTATTTAATACGTTCCAATAAAAATAATAAAGTGCAAGTTCTTGCAAAAAACGCAAAATGAAAGCAAAATAACTTTTATCAATCTTTTTCGCACAATAAATACTAGAATTTACAAAATATAATGACAAAGTTCATACTGTTTCACATACTCGAGAAAAATATCCGAAACAACAAAAAACAACGTACGATAGAATATACATACAGTTCAAGAAAATTGATTTAGCAAATAAGAAACGAGAGAAATAATAATAAAGCAATATATTTAAATTTGACTATCTAATTTCGACATAGTCAGAATGCATAGCATATTGTCTAATTGTTCGGGATCCAAACAAGATCTTCGATCAGTTAATTTAAGACCAGCAATACTAAATTGCCATTCTATACCAGCACCAGTTGCTGGAATTGAATGTATTTATCTTGCTAAAGCTAATAACTAAAGTAATTGATCAGCATTTGATTTCTAAAATGTACGAACATCAGAAGAATATTGTTGTATATCAATTTTCATTGATAGATATCTACTTAATTCGTCAGATTGAAACATGAGTAATGAATATTCAATGCTTTTAGCATCAAAATCATCATCGATTGCATCATCGTCATCATAATCAGGTGCATTTGTATCATCTTTAAAATCATCTAAAATGGATGAATGTTCGGATTTGAACTTTTTTCTCTTTTATGTTTCATTCTAATTGTTGTTGTCTTGTTCAGCAATTAACTTCAGTTGTTCTCGTGTATAATTATGACGTGCAACTCTCTCGTCATTTGAACATCCTTTAAGTGTACGATAATCAGGATGTAAAAGAGTAGCAGTATAACGTCTAATATCCAATTGAACCATTTCAAATACTTAGAGTTATCCAAAAGTAGTGACGGAGACTCTTTTTTGTCTTATGAATAGCTATAAAAAAAATTCCTTTTTTACGAATAGATAGAGCGTCTTTCGCTCTATCTTTCTATGCTATTTGATCAGTATCCAACGAAGAATATAGTAATAAAATCCCGACACAAACTTATTTTGTCGAACTCTAGCTGGTAACAATAGTGGATAAAATCATCTATACGTGTTTTTTTTCGTTTTTTCTTGATTTTTTGTCTTGTTGTTCCTTTCAACATCGTCTTCTTATCTCTTATAAGAAAGACAGTGTCGTTGAAATGATTTTTGTCGAAATCCTAGGACATATTTTGATCATTTCAGATATCGGTACGATTTAAATGATGAAATGGCCATAAAAAAAACTAGTAAAACATCTATCGAAACAATATTCATTTTACTATTTATATAACAGTAGTTTTTCGTTTAATCGTTGAATTACTTTTTAGATAGCGGAGAAAAAAGGGTTTTAATAGGTATTTGATTATCGAAGCATATGCTTAAATATACTGTGACGCCATGCTTTTTGTAGATGAAATTGCTGGTTATATTTATCTTTTGTTTTTTGCTCATTATCACATGCTATGGTTCGGCTGATGTGCACACTGCAAATACATACATCGTTGATGAGGCAAAGCGCGTACGTTTCTATCACGGTATCAATTTTGTACAAAAAGCATTTCCATGGTATCCATCCGAATTACTTGACTCCACTTTTGTTACCAACTTGCATCAATGGGGTTTAAACGTTGTTCGACTTGGGTGAATATCGATATAATTTATATGTTATCTTTCATTGTATATGTATAATTCTTCACTTTTCTTTATATATAGAATAATGTGGGCTGGAGTCGAACCACAACGTCAACAATATAACGTAACCTATTTGAATATAATGAAACAAATTGTTGAATTACTTGAATCGAATAATATCTATGTTGTATTGGATATGCATCAAGATGTATTGAGTAGTCGATTTGGAACCTACGATGGCATTCCATTATGGTTGTACGATCGATTTCCGCCCCCAAATCATGCTTGTAAATAGTTTGATGACAATTATTCTTTTTTTGTTTTATTCATGTTAAATAATTTCAATCGTAGATCCTTTTCCACTGTCATCGACTCCATCGGATAACAATTGGGCTTTAGGGTATGCCAACATTGAAGTGTGAAAAGGGCAATCAAAATCAGTTTTCTTTTTCTTCTCACTCTATAGTTATGTGACAGAGGCTTGTTCGCATGGATTTCAATGTTTGTATGACAATGTGGATGGTGCTGTTGATTCGATGAGTGACTTTTGGCGTTTAATAGCTACGACATTTGGTCATTACCCAAATGTACTTGGGTACGTATTTAGATTCTCATCTCTCTATTCATTTTTCAATGAAAAAACATCAAATAGATATGAATTAATCAATGAACCTTGGATTGGAAATTATTTCGTCAAGCCAACTTTACTCTTTCCCGGTATTTCTGGTTCAAAAAATTTGTTACCATTCTATGATAAACTTGCCAAGGCTATTCGAACCGTCGATATAAAGACACTCATCTTCTACGAACCGATTACTTATAGTGGTAAATAGATCGTGAAATAGTTGTTTTTTTTTTGCATTTTAGTAATCAAATTCTTATCTGTAGAACGACTCAGCGGTCAAATTTTTGGTAGCGGATTTTCTCATGTACCAGGCGGCATAGATTATCAAAATCGAAGTGTTCTCTCTTATCATTACTACTGTACGACCTTAGCAATTAATCTCGTTCCAGGAAATGAAAATATACCCATTTTTGATCGAGTGCTCTGCAATAACATCGAAGGACCAGCTGTTTTTCGTTCAGTAAAAGTAGTTAATATTGTTCTCGACTATTTTTTATTCATATCATCGAGATTCATAAATATTCATTTAAGAATGAGATTCGTCGATTGGGTGGCTCTGGATTTCTGACAGAATTCGGTGGATGCGATGGTTCATCGGCCTGCGATAATCAACTTGAAGTGGGTATGCTTGAAGCCGATAGATTTCTTCAATCGTGGATCTTCTGGGGCAACAGTTACACTAGTACGGCTTTGATTGAACGCTTGTCACGTGTTTATGCTCGTGCTATTGCTGGTACACCTCTTTCCATGACATATCGTGCCGATAAACGGATCTTCTCGTTGTCCTATTTTATTGATAAAACGATCAATAAGCCCACAGAAATCTATGTACCTTTTTTGCATTACCCACAGGCAAGTTATAAGGTAATTGTTAATAAATATCTCAAGTGGAAAGTTGATCCGACTGATGCCAATGTAATTCTTGTCGAACCGAGTGCACAACTTATCAACATTCCAATATTGAAGTTCATCGGCACTGTGGAAATTCAACCAACAATGTGACCATAATTGATTCAGTATTTTCTTCTGCCGTATTATCTGTGAACCTGTTCATATGTGTTCTGTTTTTAAAAAGATGTCCAGTATTTTAAGCCAGTTGTGCAAATAACAACTAATAAGTATTGTTTAATAAACAAATGAGACTAAAAAGCTATCTAATATCTAAAACACAATGTACTTCGCGATATTTTCTAGACTGCAAGCCTAGAGTCTGCAATTGGCAATCAAATCATTTTTGTCTGTGTGTCTATCTCAAAGGCCGAAACGGGATGAATTTTAGCTTCCTCGCCTCGCCTCGCCTCGCCCCGAACCCAAAGTTCTTTTTTCGCCAAATCCCCCCGCCTCGCCCCCGTTTCCCATTTTTTTCTTCGCCCCGTTTAGGTTGCTCCCCGCCCCGTCCCGCCCCGTATGAGTTTCTTCTCGCCCCGCTTCATCCCAACCCGCCCCGTGTAAGTTATCCCTTGCCTTGCCTTGCCTCGTCCCAGATTTACATTATTTCTTCATCACCTTCTTTTATATTTATAGGATATTTGTATTTCTTTGACCACATCATTGATTTGACAAGATATTGCAAGTCGATACAAAAGCACAACAGTGCCCCTTTGAGTCTGGGATTATTTTTAAGCACTAGGATTTCTTAAAATTTCAAATCAATGTTTATTTTTTCAATAATATCATTAAATACACGATTCAGAATGCTTGTGGAGTATGATTGTCCTTAAAACAATCTATTAGACACAACTCCACATCACTCGATACATTCTTACGACGTGTCTCTCCTAGACTTGACTCGTCTCACAGTATGAGCACAAATATAACACTTTCTTTTGGATTTTCTTGAGTGACTGTTGATGCAATGCATGAAGAAAAACGTCGCGCTGTGAGTCGGAGTGGATTTTCAGAGGGTATGCGTGTGGGTGTGGATGTAGTGTAAGATAATGCCAACATCTACATCCGCCCATAGCTACACCCACACCCACACCACACGCACAGAAATATACAATATGTTAAGGCCAATCACGTTTTCATTTAAATAATAAGAACAAAATAGGTATATATACATCAGTCGCAGAGAGAACAAGGATCTACTCGGACGTGCCTCAAAGAACATATAAAAGAAAAGAAAACAGAGAAAGCTTGACGTCATTCTACGATAGCAGAAAGTTAAAGAAAAAAGAACCCATGAACTCGGAATGAATGATCTTTGTGATCTTTTATATGAAAAACTGCACTCTACCTTATTCATCAAATGCGACCGTTCGATCAAAATATTTCTCAGAGATATCATGCTTGAACGACTTTAATAATAGAAACTATCTTCTTCAGAGCGGCAGTTCTTTCTCGATAAGTGTTAGTAAACTGATTCATGTATTAAGTCATTAAATGATATACTAATTGTCTGAAATATCAAAGGACAACCAGTAAACATCAATAAGTACAAATGATCTTAACCGCACGAATATTCCAAAACACAAATATTCATACAATCCATAGCATTAAATAAACAATAAATCATATTTTTAAAAGTGTCGAGTGCACAAAGTCTCAGGATGGGAATTTTCGTCACCCGGACCCAATGGGTTAAACGTGTGTAACAATTATTCACATACATTGCTTATAAATAAGAAATTTATACTGGCAAGTTTATTATGTACAAACATCGAGTATATATTTCAAACCCCGCCTCGCTTCGCCCCGTCAAAATTTTCCTCGCCTCGCCCCCCTTACTTTTCGCCCCGCCGAAATGTCTCTCCGGATCGCCTCGACCCCGAGAAAAACACTCTCCGCCCCGGGAGCTAGCCCCGTTTCGGTCTCTGGTACGAAGCGTGCGTACAGTTTGTAACATGTCTCTCTATCGGTCGATTTTCATCGTAGATCTGCGTCCTGATCTTATCTGACTTTGGAATGAAGTATAGAAAAATAATTTATTTTCTGTTATAGCTTTATTTGTAATTTAAAAAATGCAAAAAAAACAATAATACAAAAAAAATTAAAAAATAAAATAAAATACAAATCACTTAATTTAAAATTAAAGAAAATATTTAATCTAAAAATAAAAAAATGAAATCTAAAACAATTGAAAATTTTGAAATAATAGCAAAGTCTGAGCTCGAATTGATCAATGAGATAGTTTCCTCACAGAAAACGTCCTAAATTCAATGAAAAATTATAATAATTTATTTAAAGAAATGTACTAACTGTTTTATATGTGCGCTCTTTATTATTTGTTAGTTCATAAAAATAAACAAATAAGAAAAAAATAAAATGACATACGTAGTACGCATAACGTATGGTAATTATACTTGGTACGTGTGATGAACGCGTTATATCACACGTACAAGGCGCAGAAAATGTGACATAATTCGTAACAATAGTGCACGGGTAGACATGGATAACATCAGTTTAATGAGAGGAATTGAAATATTTGAATCACACATTATGGCGTACTTTTTCGTTGTCAACAGTTTTATTTAGTATATTTCGATGATGATGCCGTCTCGTTTAAGGTTGTGAAATATATACCTGATGTCTTTCTCTATTAACTTTCCGAAAAGGTTAACTATAATATATTAGCATTTTTTTATTAGTGGGCAAACTTCATTATTTCGATCTGATCTTGTATCAAATCTTGAATGATGTATTTCAACCGTTGATGATTTCGTTGATCTATTCTCTTGTCGTTCTTTGGTTATTTCATATTACATCGGCTCGTCAGTTTATGCGGTATTGGATGTTCAATTGGTTGTGTACCATGTTGTTGACTATCATGATATCTTTTTTTCTTATCGACTTTGATGTATTTGGCAATATTCTTCTTGTCATTTTCGTTGTTATTATGGTTTCAGGTGCTACCATCCAAATATCACTTGAGCTTTCACCACGATTCTTTCGTTATGGCTACGGAACACCATTGTATCATGCAATAAATGGTGGTCGACATCTTCTATTTGGTTCATATTCACGTTTTGGCATTAATGTTGGAGTATTCGTTATTTATCTTGGTGTGATGATCATATTCACCGTTTTAACCTATTATCTTCTGGACCAAAAAGCATCAACATGATATTCGAAAATAAAACGAAAAGAAAAACAATGAGATATAGATAAGCAATACGATTCATAGAAAATAATCGATGTATTCTTATGTGAATGCTAGGCTATTTGAACATGATTAATTGTTTGATTCATTCTCAGTATTTTCTGTTGTGTTGAATTTAATTTTGATCTAAACTTAGTGTAGAAAGTTAGACTAACGAAAGTTTATCAATTTGACTTTTAAACAGAATGATACTAATGAAAGTCTTAATCTTGATATTAATTTGCGATGTTTTTTTCACAAAGATATGATGCACAACAATCAGTTCACACAGAAAAATTTTCAATCATTCACTCTTTTCTTAAATATGACTCATCTAGTTTAGTGAATCACATATTTGTTTGCATTACCGTCAGTATATCGAAGTATTCATGAAAACTGGTGGTAGTAATTAGGATTTTCAGTTTCAACCATAAACATTTTAAGATAATATTTTCTATCCAAATTAACCGAAAACATACTAGTTTTAGAGCATATTTTAGTAATCAAGACAATGCGATACAATATTTTTCAAAATAAAAAATAAAAAAATTAAATGCCAGTACAGCACACATTATATCGATTGATATATGGATGGCAGTTTCTCGGTAGTTGTGTAACATGGACAGCTTGAGTAATTTTTCGATTATCAGGATGAATTCTAAAAATTCTTGAATTTCTATTTATGTTGAAAGGAAGCAAAGTAACTGGTTTCTTTCAGATGATTCTTCAGCAATACTTGATAAATTATGACTGAAACCACCGAGCAACATGTTTACTGCTTTTCTAGATCTAGCTGATCAACAATTTTCGAGCTGAATAATTTAGAAAACTATTGAAATAAGAGAATTTCTTGTTTTTTTTGTATCAAATATCGAGCATTTTTCCATAAACCAGCACTTTACAAATATTTTCGCAGATATTCATCGATCAATCGTTTTTACTGTTGTTTAAATATTATTTTAGTTGTAATTACGTAAAAATGATTTTAATTTTAGTTAACAAACCATGGATTTTTGTCTTTCTTGATCTTACATTTTATCAATGTTGTCTAAATGGAAATCAATTACAATATTGAGATTACGAGTGCCTAATAACAATCGTTAGTTATCAAGTACTCTCTATAGCATATTAGTATATTTTGAAAAATTTTACCTCATATCTTATTCTCAATCTTCATCTGTTGCATCTGAATTCTTCCTCTATATACGTCAATTTGAAAGATTTAACATCTTTTCTAGTGAGAAATAAGTATTGCAGTATGATCTAAAAATCAAAAATAGGTGAGTACTTAACTTATCTTGTAATACGACAGTATAACAAGTAGTTATAGATAAGATAAGATTGACCAAAATATGTACTTAAATAAGTTTCAAAGTAATAAAAATGTCATTTGTATACTAAAAACTGATATTTTTTGTTGAATTAAAAATAGTTTTACTCATGTTTTAGTTACTTACAAAACAGAGATGTACAAAGGAAATAACGTTTAATACCAAAATGTACAGTTCGCTTCACTCTTTTCTCTGATGCATTAAATTTCTGAAATCAAATTATTCAAGAAGTCAGCAACAGTAAATGCAAAAAAGCAACCATTCACATTAGTAGTCAATTACAAAATTCCATAATTATAGCTTGCAGTTATTTTTGAATAATATTATCCCTATTTAAAAATTCTTTTTTGTTCAGATAAACATATGTGTACTGAATAGACGATAAAAAATTACATTTAAACATTTAATTTTTTCAGAAAAAGTAGTCAATACTAATAGTTGAAAAGAAAAAACAATTATTGTGTCAAAAAAAGTTCTAATATCATTGACTCAATTAGTCTTATTTAACTTTGCATATATCAGGTTGTTTCGATGTGTAGGTCAAGTTAATTATAAAATACAATTTAAAACGCTTATTAATGAAACGAAATATATTTCCATATACCTTAGACTATGGTTTACAATATGGTAATAATACGTTTTTTAAAATGATGACATCCAACTTCTGAACTATGAAACTATGCTGTACGCATTTAAGCCGTGCTCAGCTATCGACCGACCCAAACCCTCAAAATTTTGTTTTTCTTTTCTTTACTAAATAGAAGAAAACTTAGTCAAATAAACACTCTGCCGTTTTACTTCCCTTTTTCTCTTTTTCTTTTCTCAACATGATTCTTTTTTTACTTCTTCTTTCCTATCAGTAGATAAGCTCTGTTATTCTCTTCTCAACAAGATAGGGTGTGTGTTAGCAGAGATATGATGAACCCACAATATTTCAACAAGCATCATTTGGTATTTAAGGCAATTATTCGATAATTTTATTTATCATTTTCGAATTACTCGAATCATAAGCTCTTCTCTAACGTTCACTAATAAACGTATTAGAATCTGATATGAACTGACTTCATCTTCATAAAGCATTAAAACAAAAAAGAAAGATAATTTACATCGATATAAGCAGAATCACACGAAACTGTAAATATTCAGATTTCTTTAATGTTAAAATTACAATCCGAAATTTTTATTTAATGAAATTTGATTCGTTTGTGATTATTATATATTTCAGTTGATTGAATTCTTTTCTTTCCAAGCCAAACAGTAAACATTCCGTAACTTTCTCGACACATTGTGTTAATGGTGTTTTCAGCAAACCAATTGATGACTTTTTCAGAAAATTCCATATCTTCGATGTCAAAATCAATTATTGACAGGTTTTGACATCGTTCGAGAATCATATTTATTTGATCCAAATCATCTATTGGAATTTGTAAATGTTTGATATGATACGGAAGAATTGAATGAATATCTTCTACAGTTAGATATGATTTGTGTCTGTAAAAGCTGCTATGAAGAACCAGTGAATAGAGATTGTGTGCTTGTTCTAAGAAAATTCTGATATCCATCAATAAATTTTGATTGTATTCGTTGAAATAATTGCTAGTCAGTATTACGTGAACTATTCGTGAAATATCAATGAAAACGAAAAGTGATTGTAATGAAATCAAAGGCCAATCGTCACAGAATTCAAGATTAATTTCAGTTACTTTACGAAACAATGGATGATGTGCCGTTACGCTCTAAAAATATTCAAATATAAACATACTCACTATCTGTTTTTATATTCAATATGACATTCCTAGTCTGTACTTTCGATTTAAGCAAAACCGTCCGAAAAGAGATAAATTGAAAACACTGTCGATATAGTTTGCGAAGAAATTTGATTAACATACCTTTACTTGAATATCATCAGCTGTTAGTTTGTTTAAAGTCAAATTCAACGATTTGATGTTATTCATTATTAATAATTCGTTTTTCATCATCGTAGGATAAGTGGACAATAATGTTTTTGTATATGTTGGCGTGTACGATACAGAAGATTTACATATTGGTATTGAATAGAGAGAAATAATATTTGGCTTTAGTGTAGTATGTTCATATTCACAAGCAACAAACCATTTTTTATGTTCAATCCAAAATAATGTTTGAAATGAAGCAATAATTAATTCGAGATCTGTTCGAGTTTGATCAGTTGATGTCCATTCATTGAAATAAAATTCAAATTTATCTAGTTCAGGTAAATTTATTTCAATGAATTGTTCCCATCGTTTACCATCCAACATATGTCCTACACCAATCAATTTTAAATAAACAAGTGATGATGTCAATAAGAGAAATGATTCAAGTTCATCAATGGTTACAGAAAGATTTTTGATACTTAACGATGTTAACTGTCGAAAATATATTGAAGTTAAATTATTGATCACCCCTTTTGGAATATCGTTCATAATAAGTGTATGTAAATAAGGAGAACATTGAAGTATTTTATAAAGATCATCTATATTTATGCGATTATTCGGAGTCAAATATTCAGTTATATAATTGATTGGCCATGAAATGTTTGGTATTCTATCACACGTATCGAATTCCAATTTACGAAGAGCTTTTCTTGCGATAGTTGATGAAAGAAGAGCTGCAGCTGTTTCTATGAGTCTATCATCGTATTTTTTAATATTGAATGAAAATGAAGTAAGCAAATTAAGATTGATTCTTTTCAAAATGAAGTTTAATCGCGACTCATCAATATCAAGAAGAGTAAATGAGCGAAGTCCAGTAAATTGTCGAAGATCAACAAGTAATATAAACAAATCTATTCGATCTGATATTCGTTCATTATTTGAAAGTGTTAATGAAATAATATTTTGAGGATGAATTAATTGACAAATAAGGTAATAACTTGACTTTGAAATAAAATTGAAGTCTAAAACATATCGATTATAAGTATTAACAACTGATCGAAATAATCTCGATAATGGTCGAATTGAGTATAAGATTGTTTGTGTATCAAGATTATCGAATATGTAATGAAGCATTTCCACTGGTAATACTTCAATTGATAGAATAATATTATTTGACATTGAAGCGATAGTAATGTTCTATGTTGGATATTTTTTAACGCATGTTACTCACATTGATGCGAATAATCGTATGTATTTGCCACAGAACAGCATTTTTGCCTATATCGCTAACAGAAGTTTAAGCGGACGAGTTGATCGGCGACGGCGATGGCTGTAAAAAATAATTTTTTATATCAACGACGGCGCTGACTGGAAGTTCTCGCATATAAGTCAAACTTGAAACTTGAAAACTTGAACTTCAAGTATTCAATTATTGGGGAAGACAGATATTGTGCAGCTCACTCACGGAGGATGAAGGCGAAACATAGGGTGTGGATGAGGGTGAGTATCCTTTTACCTGTTACCTACACGTACACCCATACCCTTTTTATGTTCTTGCTTCGACAGTAGAGGAGACAGATAAAATCGATGACATATATTACTCATACTCTATAATTGATTCATTTTTTTTCGCTCTGTCCTGTTTTTTTTAAAACTACTTCGTCATATACTGATCTACAGGACAGAGCCATACCCTTATGAATAACTGTTGAGAAATTCTATTCGAGGAAAAATATAACTTTTATCGGATCGAGATAAGAATTTCTTCTCTAATTTCATCATGTTTTGTACTTTCGCGTACTTGATCGATTCTTTTCTCAAGATCGTTTCGATTCGTTGTTTCTGGTGATCTTGAAAAATTTAACTCAGAATCCAAGAAATCATATTAAATCACGATTTTAACTGAATTTGATTTAGAAAAAAAATGAATTGAAAAATCATGTTTATTTTAGAACTTTAATGTGATTTCTTTTTCCATAGTTTTGAGGAATAGTCATTTCAACTAAGCAATTGGCTATATTATTTATCTATCAATCTTGGAAAAAATTATTCAAAATTAATTAAACAAATACGCATAGATTGTTCGTCAGTAACACAAACAGTCAAAAATTAATATGTTCTTCCGTTGAAAATATGAATTTATAGGAGTTCAAGAAAAAAAAAGCATCACTATGAAAGTGAAAAAGTTTTTAAACTTGCTACGAATAAATCCTCATAGATATCAAGAAAGTATTCACTGTCTTTAAATTTTAGAGAGTTCGGACTAGAAAAAACGAGAAAAATAATTCGTGCTCATTGTCTCCGTTCTAGTGTCGATCTTCATAAGTCCAATCTAAATCGACGATCGATGAACAATCAAAACTAAAACTACGTTGGTCATTGAATTCTTCTTTTCGTTTCCTGTCGCAAAACGACCGATTGATAGGATTATAGTTATTAATGTTTTCTTAATCGATTAGATGCTCGAAATAAGTTTATTAAAATCATTGGTGACGAGTTTGACCTATTCAGATGATATTATTATTCACAAAGAAGAATACCATAGAGTCTACTTTACTTTTTTAATCTCATCTGCCCACTGTCGATGTCCAGCTATATCTTGGCAATAAACATAGATCGAGGAAATTTGATTGCATGTATGAATTTTAGGGACGAGCTTTGCACCCAATCCACCACTGATAATCAACACGAAAGTACTTTCCGAGGATCGCTGGATATATCGTTCACATTCGTCTAAATCCGTGAATACCCAAACATCAGAAAATTTAGCGTGCAATTTTTCTTGTGCCTTTTTATTTTCATTATTGTACGAAGCAGCATCGAGCCAAATAATCGTGCGTTTGTTGCCGTCCGAGTGCGCACTGGCCATAACTATGTCTGTCGAAAGTGTGAATAATTGTTACTATGAAATGTTTTATCGATTACGTTGTGTGAAGAAAATGTGCAGCACTACAAAGCAAAAAAAAACCTTTCTTTCACTTCCTTAAATTGTCAAACATGCAAGCAACGACTGTAAGAAAGTGTCGAAGAAAAAAGGAAAAAATTCAGCATGCAAACAGACAGGTTTTGATAGACACTCACAAAACACTTCGTTCTGTTAAGTAATCGAGACAGTGTATAAACGGTATTGGTCAATAAATTTTTGGAGAACGATTGCTTGCACATGTGAATAGGATGAATAATCAAATGTCATGTGACACATTCTTTCAATTTCAAACGCAATGATCTTGTCTAATCTATTTTATTTTCTTCAATACGTCCTGCAAAGAATAATATATTCCATGAGATTTAGTGTGAGTGAAGACTGGCCTGTTTACTAATAAAATTCAAGTGTCTTACCTTTACTATTATCAGTAGTAACGATGAATACAAGTGAGATTTCTTGAGATTTGATGTGCATTCGAGTCAAATTCGATCTGATTTCATTAAGCATTCTAGATGGCGCCACTAGTAGAGTAGATCGAGTATGGATACAGTGGTTTATATATTTATTTTAGTTGAGTGTAGATTGTACATTTAAATTTTTAAACATTTCATCAACAAGTGTCACTGCTGTCTTTTGTTTTTTTCTTTATGGCAATTTAATACTATTTTGACGTTGTCACAATCCCCTAGATACTAATAAGGAAAATAATGAAAAAAGACGAACAGATTATGACAATTGAAAACATGTCTCTCGATAGTAGACAAGAAGAAGGAAATAAAACATGCTTATCCTAGACAGATGATTTAGGCATATCATCGGATAGTTGCAAGAAATAACGATTAGATGTATTGTTTACTAAAAATGTTGTGAGCATTTCCAATAATAATCTTCATGAAATATATAACGAGTCATACATACGTAGACATCGTGCTAGAGAAATTACAACTGAAGATCATTCATCCAAGTTTTATCATTATGATATTAAAAGAAGAAGCAATGTAGTTCATTTTGGTGCCTCTGCTAGTGATCTATAAAAATTGACTGATATAGATGAAGAAATTAATATATATATA